GAGATCCTTCTAGATCTACTTTCTCTCCACATTCTTCTGAAGAGACAGTTGTTGGTTCACAGTTGGATCAAAAACATCTTCCAGTTCTGGTGCAAGTGTTTTCAGTCGCAAACTCAGGACAGAGATATCAACCTGCCTAGGAACATATGCGACTGTATTTCAAGCGGAAATTTACGATATTGAATTGTGGACGGACAGATTGGAAGAATCCAACCTTATACACAAGTCAATAAAAATATTTTCGGACAGTTAAGCGGCGTTGGCTCCTACCGACATCTGAATTGGTAGCAAATTGGCCAAAAAAATTGGCAAATTGGCCAAACCTAACAGATTGTCTCTGGTCTAGATTCCTGTCCATATTGGCCTGGAAGGCAATGAGGCTGTTGACTCCCTTGCAAAGGAGGGTGCGGCAAGCAGCTTCATCGGACCAGAATCTGTCATTGGCATCGCTTTAGGTTTTGCCAAACAAAGATTGAACACCTGTATGGCAAGAAGACTTATGTACTTCTGGCAGAATCTTCCAGGATTAGCTCACTCCAGGGCGTTTATTCACCCTTCGAAGCTTGATACCAAACAGTTGTTGGACTACAGTAGGAATGAACTACGAACTCTAACAGGCCTTCTCACATGTCACTGTCATTTGAATCATCATATGCAGAGACTCGGACTGTCGAAAGACAGTGTGCGTCACCTCTGTTTGAAAAATGATGAAACAGCAGAGCATATACTTTGTCCCTGCTCTGTTGGTGACCAAATCAGGATTTTAGAGTTTGGCAGAGCCGTATTCTAACCATCTGTCATAAAAGACAACTCACCATACAAACTAATCGGCTTCGTTGAGAAGTTGGGTTTATTTGGTCGAGTGTGATAAGGTGTGAGTCACAATAAACCTATGCGGGTTGCGGTGGAGGTTAGAATAAACCCACTCAATTTGGACCCAACCTAACCTAACCGTCTGACAAATTAATTGGTCCAGGTATAGGTATTAGCACTCCAAACTACCTGACACAACATAAGTACGCGTTACGAAACCGTTATATTCAGTCATCGGATATTAACCCAGGAAGTATAGACTTCTGAAAAAGCAATCCACTCGCGTCAGCGAAACGTTAGGGAGAAATTCCAAAAGTCCATGTCCTTCGAACCGAAAAATAGTGACACTGAAAACCTCATTTTTTCTATGTTTTGTTAACACTTGTATTTGTAACTGAAGTTAGTTTTGTTGCCACTTGTATTTGTAACTAACGTTAGTTACAAATACAAGTGGTAAAAAAACCTAAAAAGTTTTATTGAATTCATTGAATTCTTTCATTAAAATGAAATCATTGGAATAGGTTTTCAATGAAAGTTTTTGAATTGGAAGAAATGAAAAATGAAGTTATGGTATATTGGTTATTGGTTATTGAACTGAAAGGTGGAAATGATACATATGGTGAAAATTAATTCACATTTTTATACACCGCAACTGGAAACACTTGTCACCAATTTTAGTCAACCTATCCATACAGTATCAAAGATGAGAGGAGCTAGTATGGCAAAATAGAAAACCATAGGAAATTCAAAATGGGTTGAGTTTGTGAATTTAGTGAAAGGCTAAATGTGAAATTCAAAATGAACTTTTTATGACGTCAACTTGGTAGTTGAAATGTGGAACATCATAAGGAACATTTTTTATATGATTCGATTATAGAAGGTAGAACTCTTCGGAATGTGAAATATCGATTGAAGTGATCTATTTGATAACTTGAAAGTCAAGTTGATCCGGGTCTTATGTTTTTAGTAGTTCGACGTTTCGGCTTCGACTTTGAAGCCATTTTTAAAAAGCTATCACTGCACTAGGGTCTCAATTTGCCTACTCCCCAAGTATCGTTGCTGCTCTCTGCGAAGATCTCAGTCTGCTACTCCCAAGCAACAACTATCTATCTATCGCTTCTGGTCTGGTATTTATATTCTTTGATAAGTGTGTGGCTCGCAATAGCGAGGTGTGCAATGTTTCGAGATGTATTGCGCGACATTAATAATCTCTATCTTTGAGAATCATCTCTGTTGTTGAGGCAGTTGGGACATTTTTCAATTTCGAAAGCTTCGTGGATTATCCAGGGCTGGATAGTTTTTTTGGTGAAAATGGTTTCGATGTTTTAGAAACTTATTGTGTGGCCTGTTTCATGAAGATGTTTGAATTGAAATCAGGCTGATTCTGATTCACGCATAGCATGCTCATGTTAAAGGCTCTATTCTGTTGGTCCAGCCGACGTGAGATCTGGAGCAGGTGGAACATGGTATTTCGTATATGCCCTCTGCCTTATTGAATATTAGGTCCTTAGGTGTTCGTATAAAAGTGGAAATTTGATTATTGTTTGTGAATACTGTTATTATATCGTGTCTCTTCATAATTCAGCTCAATTTATCGGCAACTTCATGAATAAAAGATAGAAAAGCTTTTCTGGTGGTCCGTCGAGCTGAGTTCGTCTAGTTTTTTGGATCTATTGTGGATGACTATTCCGATTTGAGATAGTCGTTTCCATGAAGGGCGGATTTGAGTTCGACTAATTCTTTCGATCTTTTGTGGATTTCTGCTATTGTGGCTGACAATCACAATAGATCCAAGGAACTAGACGAATTCAAATGCGCCCGTCATCAAAACGTCTATCCTGAATCCCAAAGTCCACTCCAAATTCCAACTTCAGCAAACCCGTACCCTACGTTGAACTACCAAAAACACAAAACGCTATAGATTGACAGAGATGAACGTTTCGAAACTTCTATTCAAAAATATTCATTTTCTTATCATTCATATCGATTTTGTTCCTATGAATTGTCTCTTTTACCAAAGCAACACATCGATTGATGCTCTGCCATGAAATCGAATGACACAATTCAATGAAAGTAAACTGGAAAACTTTCAAGTGATAATAATATTCATGCCAATCTATTCAATATTACCAGTGACGGCTCTTGCCTTGGAGAACAGGGGAGTCTTAAGTCATATAGACTATATACACACAGAAAAGCCCGCCGGAGGCGCGAAAATTTTCATGTTGTTGCACGCTTTGCTTTATACTAAAGTTAGGGCATGGGCATGACAATGCGTAAAAAGTGCATGAGGAGTTATGGACTTTATTTTAGTTTGTAAACCATTTAAATGGCCGGCCATGACCGCAGCCCCATCATAGGTTTGCGCAATTAGCTTTTGCTTAAAAGTATAGTTGTCACACGTACGAATTGAAAAATTATACAAATCGTCAGCTGTGCGCCCAGATGAAACATCATGAAAACCCATAAAACGTTCTACCACATCACCATCTTTGACATATATAAAAACGATTGAAAGTTGTGATGTACAGGTTTAAAATCTGTTTAAAATCTGTTTTCCCGTTAATCAGCTGTCGCCCCCATACGAACGACAACGAGCTAAGGAATAACGAGGTCGTACCTTTTAACGTGTGATTCCTAACACGGTTGCAGAATCATTCCAGCTTCAACCAGATAAATTCTCTCGAGAGAAATATCTGGTCGAGGCGGGAATCGAACACACGATCTTCCGATCATGAGTCGGGCGCACGACCACCGCGGCCAATTCTACAACAAGGTAATATCGGCAGTTTCATCAATTTCCCATGCAAAAAAAGAATCACTTTCACTCTCCTTGCTTATATTTTCCTCAATAATATATGCCATACTGTCTATAATAAGCTCATTTCGGATGGTTTTTGAGGTGCCCGAAAAAACGCTACCGTTTAAAAAAGTGCCAAATTGAGAATCATATTTGCCCCATAACACGAGGTACATTTTTTAAATCGGAGAATCCTATTTTAGACCACGTTTGGTATTCGGTTTGTACGGAAAATAAAATACAGTGCCAACAAAAAAGTTTTTCTCGTTTAATAGAGCCAGTTTATCAATCGCATTTATCGTACCAACTTATATTAAATCCTCGATTTTGTCGATTATCTGACGATTTAATTGAAATCAAATTTGGTTGAGGCCTTCCCAGAGTTTTAATAATGTAAAATTTAGTATCATAAGATAAAGACTTAAAATTAGTTGTCAGCAACCAATCGACTATATCGTCAGATTTTTCAATTTCGTCCAACTTATCCATAATAAATGAAAAAAAAAACTTACCGAAAAGTGAAAACCTGAAATCACCTTGAAATTGAAAGAAAACATTTTAAAAACACAATAAAAATATTACCAAAAAGCACTGCTATAATATAATATTGCCTGTTTCATACACAAATAACAAATATTATCAAGAAACACTAAAACGATTTACCGGAATATTCTTTAGTCCCGGTCCGTCACGGTATCCCGTCCGAATAATTAAATAAAAAACAAACGCAGTCATACACTAACGGAGACCAACTGGAGGCTAGCCTCCTCTGACGCTATAGTTTCTGCAACTGAAATTACAAATCGGGACGTATGTCTCTGCTTGAACCGGTCTCGTGGAGCCTGTGTTTTTTAATGCAGTCAGAGGCTTGGATCCCTTGCAACGTATGGCATTTATTATTTCAGGTTGATAGTTTATTCGTTATTCGTTCATGGGCGGTGCGTTTGAGTTTTGTTGATGCAGGATACAGTATGGTACTTACTACGTAGTGAGTGATAGTGTTTTTTCGGGCATATTATGTATTTATATTGAAAATCAATGGTGGAGTAATGATACCCAAGCATTTTTAGAGGAAAATAATAATAATTATTTGTCAATATCTTTTAATTTATTGCGATAAATAGCCTCAAATGATATTCCTAAATACTTGGAGAGTTGAAAGAAAAATTACCAAACCATTCGATTCAATATAACATCGACCTGGGCTAAATTTTGGGTATAGTATTAGTATAGTCCAAATGAAACAAAAGGTTCTCCAATAGCCTCCTGAGACTAATGAGGATGAGATTTGGATTGTTGAACCAGAAACAATTTGGAAGATACACGGTGGCATGACCAGTAGGCCCAATAACCAATCCAATTATTTCATTATACTTTCAATACTTACGAACCTATCATGTAGATCATGCCGTTCAAATTACATAAGCCATGATAAGCTCTCGGCGAAGAATCTGTGTCTACTGAAAATAACCATTTGTCCGCCCGGCTATCGTAAGTTTCCAGAAAGTTCGTCGGACTACCAGCGCTCCATCCTCCAACAGCAAATAGAACTCCAAACGGAATTCTCGGTCGGAAAAGATAATTATTGATATAATCTACGTCGTCTTCTTGACCTAAGCCACCTAATACGGTCAAGATATCTCGCAAGTACTCTTTACACTCGATGTTTTCTTCGATCAAGTGCCACTTGGACATTTCCTGTACACTGTCGTATGTTAAAGTCCCCAGTCTATAAATTAAATCGATTGTGTCAATGTACGAGGCAAATATCAACATTTCAACACTTTTCTATTCCGATAGGAATGATAGTGAATTATAGTGAATGAATAATAGTATGAATTTCACTAGTTCGGATTTCCATTGTCTTATATATAGAATGGTTTGAAATCGCTGAAACAACTAAAAAAAGGAGAATTAAACTTTCACATAGTCAGTGGCCTGAACGAATTGTNATTTATTTTATTATATATTTTATATTTCCTTTACATTTTCGCGTTTTGTTCTGTATTTGTTTGTAGATTGATAATTACGTTTCACAATATTCGATTTCAAACCGTTATTCTAGAGCTACTCTACAAAATTTGATGATATCCAGGCATAGTAAGTATATCGCTGAAAATAGTATTGACTTACAGAATTGTTAGCTCACCTTATACACTTGATGAGAGTCAGCAAGTGAATTTTCCTCCTGATAGGTGAATAATTAATCCACATTTTAATTGCTTCGAATACGGTCTCATCCGTTTTTACGTTCAGTTCATCGTCTCTGAGGATTTCCTCTAAATGCTGAACAGAGATATTGTAAAACTCGTAACTATCCTTGAGTAGTTTCGGAAAATTATGTTTCACGTATAGTCTTCCCCGTTCAATCAAGTCTTTGCAGAAATACTGGGATGCGAATTTCAGAATTTCCAAGCAATTCGAAGGAGCGAGTTCTTCTATGAGGAAGTTGCAGCATAACTGTACTATGTCCAGAATTTGGTATTGATCTGCGTATTTCAATAGTCCTCTCACGTTGGTTTTGTTGATAATGCAGTTGCCAGTGTATGCATAGTCTAGGAAAATTTGGAATATCTCGCCGTTTATGTTCATTTTCGCCTCAGTTGCCTCAGCTGGGTCCCTGTTAATGGAATTCGTGAAAAGAGCCTTGAAGTAGGGACTAACGGCGGCCAAAATTGCACGGTGTATTTTGAACTCGGTGCCGTCTTCACACTTCACAACCCCATCGCAAAGCTGGGAATTATTCCTCAATTCTAACCAAACTGGAGGAAAGTCAAATGTGCTGACCTATATAAGTACTGTACTTAATTCTAGGTGATTATGAATTACCGAAATGAAGTTACTCACCTGTAAAGGAGAACACACGCACTTTTTACACAATAATCCAGCTGCTTTTTTTCTTTTCTTGATAATTTTGTTATTGTTTGCGTTTATTTCCTCGGTTTTGTTTCTAGAGGCAGTCTTCCGCAATCTCATAGTGAATTCCATGACGGAATATGTTTAAAAAGTTTTAAAAGTGGTTCAACGCATGTAAAAAATCACGTTCAAATGACATGTGTCATATTTCGAAAGTCACCATGAAAATCTGAGTACCATTCAGTATACTATATGTTGGAAAAATATGTCGAAGATCCAATATTGTGTTGTATCCATCTCCTTCCACATTTTTTCTATGAAATTATTATAAATTTGAGTTTGCGATACATCATTAAAGAAATTTGATTCAAAGAATGATTGATGAAACCAAAATAATAATAATAGTAACAATGTATTTTCATACATACAATGTTTATGGCAGGAAAACAAACCAATAATTCAAAAAACTTATTATAAAATAACAAAAATTAATTGGCGCTCCAGGGCGACTTCATTGATTCCAGTGGCGGATTTGCTTTTTCAGCTGCAGGAAAACCCGGAAAAGCCTGCAGCACCAAGTCATCTGAAGATTTTGATCTGTCAATCTCCTCTCTCTCCTCTATCTCTAGAGGCTCCAATAAATTCAATACATCCCTAGAACACTTAGTGACACGACTATCGTCAAACTTAAACCAGTCCGTTTCGTCTTTGACCAAGGCGTAATAATGACCAGATTCAACTTCAGAACCGCAATGAACAATGACTGTATGAAGATTATAATAGTGGTCTGCTAGATTGGAGTGTTCATCTATTTCGAACTTTCGTAAGAGTTTGGTGCATCCGCTAGAGGTTGAGTCATGTCACTAAGTGTTCTGGCGATGCATTGAATTAATTGGAGCAACTGGAGATACCTTACATTTTGTTTCATGAGAGAGGACATTGGCAGATCAAGATTTTCAGATGATGTGGTGCTGCAGGTTTCTCCGGGTTTTCACGCAGCTGAAAAAACAAATGCGCCCCAGAGCGGCAATTCATTTTTGTTGTTGTTTTAATCAAATGTATTGCACATCATATATCAATTTTGTCTTCTCAAGATATTCAGACAATCTAGAATGTACTGATTTTTCAATTTCAGATAAAACTGTTGTTTTTGCATTTACTGAATTATTTTTATGATACATCATAAAACATATTTTCGAAGCACAATTTGTAGGTTTGCTATCTTCTATTTCACCAAAGGATGTTAAGCTATTTTCCAGGTTTAATGATGTCTACCGCAGTCGTAGATGAAATGTCAGGCATAAAACCTGCGGATCACGTACAACAAACCCATAAAGTATCTTAGACTCAGTCCTATATCACCTTTCATTTTATAAACGTCCACACTGTATAACTGTCAATGATATTAGAAGACGATAATTGAAAGTATCAAAATGAGTCAAAAACAAAAAGGCAGGAAGCCATTCTATATTCCATGTTAACGTTTTCTACAGAACTATTGAATTTTTTCATGTAATCTTAGAAAAATTGCCTTTTTCACCAGATTTTACTTCGGTGTCTAGAATAAACTCATTGTCGAGAAATCAGTTGAGTCAAAAGTAGTGATGTAACAAAAAATAACAAATGATTTTGCCTTGTCTTGGTAGTGAAACGGTAATATGGGTTTTGTTGAGGGAAATATTTGAGGAAATACTGAAATTATAGATAGAATTTCAATCAATTACGAAAAAATATCATCCCCAAACGGTTTTGTGAAAAAAGTAATATAATAAAATATGGAAAAAAATTTTCAAGTAATTTTATCACATATTCATTAATAGAAAGAGATATTTCATTGTATACGATGGATTATAAATAATAAATCAAATGAACTCACAGTGTAATTTTTCGTCCAAATTTCCTCTAGACGTTACTGATAAAGCTCGAATGAACTCCTCGAATTCTATGGAACCATCCTGAAAAAATGAAGCACATTATTTGATGACAGGGACTATGAATAAACCAATTTCCAAAAATGTGATTATTATCCTTATGTGATGTGACTTTTTATCCATATGAATTCAGGATAAGATATCTTCAAAATCGAATTCTCAATACACCTCAATTAAAAGTTAAAAAATGACTTACGGGATAATATCTTTATACACATTCGTGTCTCAAATTCTGATAAGAATTTTAGAACAAAAACCTTTTCAATTCTTACAATTATTTATCATCAGGAAAATATACGTATATGTATATTAATGTTCTTTAGTTTTAGAGCAACCTATGAAAACATAATGTCATTGGAAACTGTAACAATTCCAAAATGAAGGCACCAATACATGAAACTAGGATTTGCTTATACTAGTGAACAGAATCTGAAAGATCTTTCGCAATTGCATGGAATGTTCATTCAACTTCAAGAACTCATTCACAAAAATACTTTTCGGCACTGCATTACTATGTTCTGTACAAACAGATATGGGAAGGTGATTTTACGGTTGAGAGAAACATCAAAAAAGCAATTTCGAAAGTTGAACAGGTCACATTTCCATGTTTGAATTGACATTCAATCGATTTGTTGAGTTTGTTCAGGAAGAACTACAATATGCAAAATTTCCCCTTTCCAAAATAATCCACTCGCAGTAGAAGCAGCTGATTTTCTCTCGTTTTCAAGTCACAATAATATGTTCCATATTCTCTGTATTTTACACTCAGAAACAAAAGGTCAGGTCTTTGTAATGATATGTTCAGAGAAGGTTTCATAAGAATTAATAATACTAATTCAAGCAGAAATTGAATGGTGATTGTCTTGAACTGACTTATAAAACAAATTGTTTCTGTCGAAAATATACGTTAAATTTCCATATGCCATACTAAGTTATGTAAGTATATCAAACTGAAAATCTTGGTACGTGTTCATCCGATTCAATACCGAATTTAGAAAATATACATACGTAAAAAAGTGACAACGATGTAGATATTTGGGGTGCAACTGTCTCTCCGTGCTCTATAAATGTATGTCTGCCAAAAATTACAAAAAAAAAATAGATATTCAATCAGATGAGCATGAATAATAAACATCTCCATTGAATATATTCCAATCATTCTCTATAGCAAAAAATATTTTTATCAATATCCCATAGTCCTTGTACAAATTTGAATGAGTTTTCAGTTCCTTCCACATGCTCAACTGATATGCAATATTGGTTGTACAGTTTATGTTGTCGAGAAATTCAATATAATCTTTCAAAAAGCCTTCTTTTGATTCTTTGGAAATCATTGTGTGTGAGTAATTCAATTTCAATACAGATGAATTCATTTATAAACATGAATAAGGTAATATTCTTCACAAGACTTTTGTGTGCATAACCTTCCACAATCTGACAAATAATCAAAGCTGAATCATAATAAAGGGCAATTTAAAAGGTTCACCCCAAAAAGTTACTGCGAAATATATACCACTTAAGAGTATAATGAGTCAGTTACTTGACGTATTGATTCAGAATAGAATAGGAATATACACCAAAAAAACAGTAAGAAACATTGAATTTGTTGTGATGCCCCTCAGAAACGCTAAATGAAAAATTGCCCACATTCGAACAAGACTTTTTATGGCTGTGTATTAATCAGATCGCTTTGTCATTCATCAATCATCATGCTGACAGCAAACTACGTATAAATTTCAAAAATCTTCAGCACTTTATTAAGAAACCATTTGCAAATACTAATTCAATTCATAAGCGTATATTCAACGTATAGGAACCACAATTTTCAACTAATAAAATAATACTATTCTATTTGCTACCAATTCAGATGTCGGTAGGAGCCAACGCCGCTTAACTGTCCGAAAATATTTTTATTGACTTGTGTATAAGGTTGGATTCTTCCAATCTCTCCGCACACGATTCAGTTGCGTAAATTTCTGCTTGAAATACAGTCGCATAGGTTCCCATGTAGGTTGATATCTCTGTCCTGGGTCTGCGACTGAAAACATCTGCACCAGAACAGGAAGGTGTTTTCGATCCATCTGTGAACCAACAAATATGTGCTCTTAATATCTTCTTCTCTCGGAGGATCGAATCCTCTCTACTCAGTAACAGTACTTTATAAGGCAGTTCGTAGATGACAGCATAAAGTCAGAGTTCATTTCAAGACTGAAGTGACTTCCAGTGTCTGTTGCACTCTGCATTAAATTAATTTGTGCAATTGGCAATGTGCACAAGTCTATATGCAGTCCATCTAGCCTCTCTCTCCAGAAAAATATGGAGAGAAGGTAGATCTAGAAGGATTTCCATGGCCACTGACGACCATGGAGAGCTAACTTCAATGTAACAGTAAGCCTTTCTTCAATGCTGATGGCTACCCTTCTGGTGCAATCTTTTTGTAGCAAAGATCGAACAATTGTTCCGAGTTCATCGAAGACTTCATGGACATTCGGTAACAGGTAAAAAACTTGTCCGCATATTCTCTGACTTTTTTCTATGAAACAGAAAACATTTTTTCCTGGTTCCTCTTTCCGTGGTACGAATGCACGTCGTACCTTCTTGGGTGGTGTCTTTCAGCAGAAGCGCCTTCTGCTTCCAAAGCGCATGGTTACCATCATTTGATGGTGAAATATCGCTGCAGCAGTAGACTTCATAGGGATTGTTTTGAAGGCGCGAACAAGTAATATTATTCCCCCAATCAGAAACCCGGACTGGCAGGAAATCGTTCGGGAATCGCGAACACTGCGAGGTACCCACTGTAGCGATTTTTACCCAGCAATTGCCACTAGGAAACCGCGCTGGAAAAAGCCGCTCGGATATCGCAAAGTATGTCACCGGCCTTAGACGCTTTCGAAAAATCAGCGGAAAGATCTCATTCGAAACAGCCAGTTGTTCACTTTTTTGCGTGATAATCATATGTAGCAACTAGGAAAGTATTAGGTATCTCTACAAGTAGCCATTGACATAACAATTAGGAATAAGGGTACAATAATGAATCACTCACTCATTGACCCTCATAAGCGAGGTTAATGGTTCATCCAGATCTATATATAACCTAGAATGCTCTCTCTAACCTCAATTTTCGTTCAAAAAAACAATATTCATCACCCAATCACGTTTCGAATCCCGATGAAATAAACAACTATTTTGCATAATTCGTACAAATTGTTTCTAATAATTGTGATGAAAATATTGAATTGTATAGCAATAATTATTTAATTAGGCAAGATAACTTATCATT